TCACTTTGGTACCAAAATTGTCCCTCACCTTTAAAAAGTAAATTTCTTTGTAAACTAAAGTAATAATAGTAAGTTAAAGAAATTTAAAAAATTAAATTTTTTTGTAAACTAATTTTAATAGTTGGATTCATTGATAAATAACTATTAATTGACTTAAAAAAAATAACTATTAATTTGTAGGTCAAATTATATATTCAAGTCTTGAAGCTAGTATTTACAAAAATTAATTTTCTTAAATGCATCAATCGACATGGGAGATGAACCCTTAAAATCGCTTAAAAAGAAATTATCCTTAAGGTGCACAAAACTGGTTGGAGACACTCTAGACAAAAAAAATGAAATTAAAACTTAATTATTTGTAAGTTTTGTGTTGAAACTCACATATGTATAATTTTTACATGATATCAAAACTTAAATTTCTTTCTTCATAAATTTGTTATTAGCTCACTTGAGAAAATTTGAATTGAGTTTGCATGTAAAGGCGCATATAAGTCACATAACAAAACCTAACATTCATATCGGGTTTATACTTAAAAAAGTGTGTTGTATGGAAAAATTTTATATAAAATATATATATATATTCTACTTACTACCAATTAATTTTATTTTAGACACTAAGCCTTGTATTGAAACTCGACACTCGTATGCCCAATTTTTTAGATTAAGCTTACTCCAAACTTGAATCATCTAGCTGGATAAATGAAGGAAAGGAATAAAACAGAGTATTGACAGAGAATGGAGGAATCGGTGTGGGGCGGGTGGGTGCAGTTATAAAGGAATTGAAGAGATTAACCAATATGGTATTGAGCACTGACGGAGAACCTCCTCTCATTGGTCAAGTTTTCCTTTCTTTTATTTTCTTTTGATGAACGTTCCTTTCCCTCTTTATTTATTTATTTATTTATTTTGAACTGAGAAGAAATTTGAAGGAAAAGAGAATAGGTGGCTACTATTACAACTTGGATTTTGAATGAAACAAAAAATTAGGCGCACTCAAAGCAAGACAACCAAAAAATGCGGGTACGTTCCTTTCCTTTCTTTGAACAAATGCTTCCGGTGAAAAGTGATATTTTCTTTACTTTAAATGATTTTGTGGGCTTATATTTGGATTCTTTGTTGAATTGATTTGTCAGATGCAAGTTATCCTTTTGAACAAGTACATGTGCACGGTGCACAACCATGGTCACCTTTTTTTGTCCCTAGCAGTCTCATAAACGACAGATTGTAATTTTTTATGAGTAATTTTTTTTTT